GTTCACATTTTTGCTAAAAGTCTCGTAAAGTGACTTAAAGTATAACCTTTATTAATAATGTGGAAACCTTGAGCTGTTAAGTATGGGCTATATGTCACAATTCAACATTTAACCAAGACGTATTTGTCACTAAAATATGAATGACATGTTTGTATATTATTCTATCTTAAAACAAAAGGTTATAAAAGTATGAGAATAATACTAATAGAAAAAACACAAATAAATGCTTCAAAATTGTTGCTTTTGTTTCGAAAGTCTACACTGGAAATGACAACATTTTGAAATTTGGTATGCTTGTTTGTCTTTGTATCTATGGTGTATAATGATGTGATTATGATGCTGTATTTCTGAGTGTTTTATCTGCTGCAGAACAGGAACCTGCTGTAAAACAGCAATTATGATGAGTCAGGCTTGATTTTTAGTAATATTTTCCTGTTAAATAAATAAATAAATCAAACCAAATCAACATGTTAACAGTTTACTCCACGGCCACTAGACAAAACCTCGTTGTGTTGAAATATATAAACAAAACATAACAAATTTCAAATAAAGTTTATCAAACTTTTATTGTAAAACTATTGTTTTGCTTTTTCTTGTCAACAGGAAAACATTTAATAATGAACGTGTTACTCTGTTAATGTAATGGAAAATAATTTCATAAAATCTTCATCATGTTTTGTCGATTGTTACCTTTATTCTGGTAAAATAAACACGAGGTTTTCCAATTTTAGCCAAATACTCACAGATTACTTAAATTTTAACTTTTAACAACATTGTGGATATCTTGTGTTCTAAGTTGTTGGCCTTTTTTATTGTTAAGCAAAAACATTTATTTCCAGAAACTCATCTCTGGGGTGAAATTATATTGATGTGGTAATGTTTTTAAACTAAAGGAACAGTAAATGTTGTGCTGAAAGCTCCTGAGACGTCAGCATGAAAGTCTATTGCCAATTTTATTTAACCTAATTGTTGAACTTGTGCCACCTTAAAAACACTGCAAAGAAACTAATGAACCCAAATATTTGACATTTATGTGTGAGTAAAAATCTGACAGGAAGTTTAAATCACTGCTAATTGATTTATTGATCTCAGAGCTTTACCATCTCTGGACACATGCAGATAAAGGATATTCAGCTGTGTGTGTGTGTTTTTTTTTTTTTAGTTTATTTCATTTTTTTCCACTTTTATACAACAAATACCTCTGCAGCAGCTTTTATTGACTGACTTTCTCTGAAAGAATCTATTAAATTTTCAACAGATAAAGAGTTACAGTTCAGCTCAGATCTGCTGAATGTTCATTTCTGCACACATTGGACCCCTGAGGACTGAGAAATACAATCGTCTAATTAGTATCCTAATGTGCCTTTTTAACTGATAAGCACTGTGTGTTCAATGAGGCTGAAATGATCCTCAGAGAGCCAATATTGTAGTTAACAGCCATTGACTTTCTTTAGCTTTTAAGCTGGAAAGATTGATTTTTTTTCTCTACTCGTACTTTTCTTGTCTGTTTTATACCAGCTTTTATTTTAAAATTTCTTGAAAACAGCTTTCATTCCCAGCCATTCACACGATTAATATCAACGTCAGATAGTTTTCAGATTGTCTCCAGTGATTTATTTCATAGATTTTGTGGCCGACTGCTAACACTGTCAACTCAAACACAAATATGTAGGACTGATGGAGTTGGAGGAGAAATCAAAAAGAGTTATGGAAATAAACGTATTGACTGATGAACAAACTATAAACACATCATCTAAAAGGCGGCTTCGTACGCTTTTATGAAGCATTTCTACTTTTTTAATTTGTTCATGTATTTTATAGGAAGTTGAGACATTTTATTGGATGAAATTTGACCTTTCTCAAACTGAATATGTGAGTAAAAATAACAATAATGTACATGTTATTGATACTACAGCACTAAACTTTTCAGATTAATGTGCTCACATTGAGTTACATGTAGATGTTTAATAAGCTGTTTCTGAGTGCAAATATGTCATAGACTGTACTTTATTGGTTTCTATTGGAATTAAATGTTTTATGTTAGTGATCAATAAATAACAACACTTTCATCTAATAAGTAGCACATACTTTTAATTC